TTAAGCTGTATTTTTTATTTATATACAAGTAGAAGAGTAAGAGGACTTACAGAAAGAGATTTTCATCCCAATTAGTTGATAATGTTTTTGATTACTTTTTTATCACGATCTGTGATAACATGACATTCCTGGAACCAGTTAGACATAGTGGTTGTTCAGCCAAGTTTTGGGTTTACTTTGACTATAGTTAAAACAGGTGTGTTGAATGAACAATTGATGTTGCAGCTGGATACAAGCAGAACTTGGTAGTAAGAGTCTTAAAATCTTTCCTTGAAATCTTTGGTTCCCACCACCATACCAAAGTTGAAAGTGTTTCAAAGCTAGTAGGCAGCCTTCTTCTAATGTATTTTATTCACTTGGGATTAAAGCCAGAAGTTTTCTTTAGTTAACCACAAAAATTATCTTTTGCCATAATTGGCAGCTTGGGGTTTTTCAATTGCTTTTATGTGCAGTAATTAAAATTAAGATAATTATGAATTTGGGATATGCTCAGTACCTTAGGACAGGAATAGTTTTAGCTACATGTGACAGATTGATAAGTACGTTCTCCCTTTGATTCAAACACCCACCCTCTCTTCTGAGATACTATGTCAAATTCCAGGGATGAAGCTGCCCATTGGTAATGCCGATTCTGTTACAAAATGAGCCAATGAATATATTGATTGGAAGTGGCATTTGTTAAGGAAATACACCTGAAATAAAAATGAAGACCTATTTTGTAAAATGCTCCTTTTCTATCCTCTGTGCATGGCCATGGAATTGTAGGTTGATGCTCCAGACTTCGCCATGAGCGGATGCCTGTGGGCTAGTCTTGAAGCTGTTTTCTTTGTGGTTTGCCTCCTGTCCACTGGGAAGCCCATGCTCCTTTCATTTTCATTCTTTTCCAACTCTAGGGCTTTTGAACACAGAACCCCCATCCTCCCAACCACCCAAACTCCACATTCCAGCCCCGTGATTTCATGGTACCAGGCGTATCTCCCCTGCCATGCCGCCAGGCTGCCTGCTGACTCTTGCTTGGGGAACAGACAGGAACATAAACTCACCACAGAAGAGCAGGACGCTCTCTGTATATTTTTAAGACCAGGAATCCAGTTCTCATTTAGAGGCTGTATTTTTTTAATAGCGCCTTGAAAATTGAACAAAACATTTCTTGTTGCTCTTATTTCTTGATAACATCATTCCCTCTGCATGGATGTATAGAATCACAGAAACTAGAGAATGGAAAAGATGTATTAGATCATGTCTGATCCATTCCCACCGGTCACAATTCTTTTTTCCCACAGTCTGTCCTCTAGTGCTTTTCTCTTCAAATTTTCTCAAGAATTAGTTTCTCCATTTCTCTTGGGGAATAATTCCTTAGTTTCACCATGAAGGAATTTATGTGGAAATATTCATATTCTTTTTTTCCTAGATACATAAGGGTATTCCTAGTCTTCGTAACCCTTTGCACTAGCATAAACAGTCCCTCTTCGTCCTAGGTCAAGCATTTCTGGATGGTATTTTTTTTCTCTTCCATTTATTAAGTTCAGAGCTTGTTTTTCTGCTTTGCTTTCTCTTTTCATCAATCAGTCCCTAAAGCCCATTAATCATTTTTTACCTCACTGAAAGCTCCTTTCCTTATTCCCATATCAGGAACCCAGAGCTGGTTAAGATCTTAAGGTGCTGGAGGAAGCTTCACTCATATGTATTTATCCTGTGCTAACTCCTCTCTGTCTCTGTCCCTCCTAGCCTCAGTTCTCAACTACAAACTATTTTTAAAATAATGTTTCTAAATTATGATTTGGGGAGTTAGTCATTTGAAGGCCTATTGTGTATATGTGTGTGTATGTGTGTGTGTGTACAGTTTTAAGTGGTAAGATTACATTTGTTCTAGTTACTTAAAAGATATTTTTCACATCCTCAGAGCCACAAGTCTTTTAGGTCTCCTGAGTACTTAAATCAAGTGCAATTCTGGACCATTGGACTGTGATGTAGCACTCTATTTAGGGCTATCGTCTCAGGAGTAGAGAGGAAAATAAGCAGATATGGGGAAAATAGACTGTATTTGTAGGATTTGGAATTCTTGGGGAAAGGGAAGGGCACAATTTAAGTAGCCTTGGCACTCACATATCTAAAGCAGATTAGCTCTTAGGTGTTAGTGTTAGGTATAAAGATAAGGATTTTTTTATGTCACTTTCTTTTTTGTTTATTTCAGCTTTATTGGGGTGTAATTGACAAATAAAATTGTGAGGTATTTAAAGTATACATCACGGTGATTTGGTATACATACACACTGTGAAAGGATTCTCCCTCATCTAGTTAATTAACACATCTATCACCTCACATATTTCTAAAATTTTTTGGTGAGAACATTTAAGTTCTACTCTCTTAACAAATTTCAATTATACAATACAGTGTTATCAACTATAGTCACCGTGATTTACATTAGATCCTCATATGCTATATGGTTTCCTGGATTGGAGGACCCAATATTATAAAGATGTCGGTTTTCCCCAAAGCAATCTATAGACTCCATGTAATCCCAATCAAAAACCCCAACAGTTTTTTTTTCTCTTGGAACTTGACAAGATGATTCTAAAATGTATTGAGAAGTGTAAAGAGGCAAGGTTGGGTAAGACACTCTTGAAGAAGAGGGTAGGAAGACTTGCTCCACCAGATCCCAAGACTTATTAAAAAGGCGAGTGTGGTACTGGTGCAGAAACAGACAAATAGACCAGTGGGACAGAACAGAAAGACCAGACACAGACTTAAACATTTAGAGATGTTTGTTTTATGACAGAAGTGGCATTCCAGAGCAGTGGGGAAAGAAAATTTTTTCAATAAGTCGTGCTGGAACAATTAGGTATCTATACAGAAGAAAAAAAAAAAAAAATTGGATGTCTACCTCACACCATATGCAAAAATCTCCAAATGGATACAGACTTAAATGTGAAAGATAAAACTTTAAATCATACATACACATGCAGATACATATGTTTTATATATGTATATATGTGTATACACTTACATGTCTTCATGACCTCAGGGTATTAAAAGATTTCTTCTATAACATAAAAATCTGTAGTCAAAAATTATATATGTGGTAAAATTAAGAGCATCTCTTCATCAAAAGGTAACATAAAGAAGACAAATAGCTACACAAAGAGAGAATATATTGTCTACACATGTAATTGATAAAATATTAGTATCCGGAATATATAAAAATTCTTCAATCAATAAACAGACAATCTAATCTGAAAAAAATAGGCAAAATAACTTGAATAGGCTCTCCACAGAAGAGGAAATAAAAACAGCCAATAACCATATGAGTTCTCAACTTCTTCAATAATCAAGGAAATGCAATTAAATCATAATGAGATTCCACCTCATTTCCACCAGATTAGCTAAAAATAAAAACACTGGCAAAGTGTTGATGAGGATGTGGAGCAACAGGAATTGATGGTAGAAACTGCAAATTGTTGCATACTTAGGAATAGTTTAGCACGCTGTAGTACAGTTGAAGATATGTTAACACACACCTTATGACCCAGCAATTCTACTCCTAGGTATAGACACTAGGTCAGCTTGACACACAATACACAAAGGTACACATAGAAGAATGTTCTTTTGGCCCCTCTTAACTTTTTTTTTTTGCAAATTTTCAAATCTACAGAAAAGTTGCAAATTAATACAATGAATGTAATAAAGTCTTAATAGACAATGGCTAAGCAAAACATGGTGGCTAGTGGAAAGACTTTGGGTTTTGTAGAAATACATGGGCTTTGAAGTTAGTGATACCTAGCTTGAAATCTCAATTCCACCTACTAACCGTGTGACCACGGGCAATCTATTAAGATCTGTGAGCCTCAGTTTTCTTATCTGTAAATTAAAGATAATAAAATGCTTACCATCTTGGGTATTGTAAGGATTAAATACATTAATGTAGTTTAAGCACTGAGCGTAAATGCCTGCAACATAGTGGTTGTCAGCATATTATGGCTATTATTAATATTTTGTTGTTAAAAATGATAATATTGCATTTATTTTTTCAGAACCTTTTAGTTACAGCACATTTACTGATATTTATTCATTTTTAGCTTTTCAGTATACAATGCAAAATCATTCAAGGGAAAAAAGAGCATTTTTTCACCCAGTGTTACATTTTTTCTTCTCATTTTCCTATGTTAACTTCAATATTATAAAGTGTAAACCAGTGGGAAAACATGACCATGACAAAAATGTTTTTATAATTTAAAAAATTATACAGAATTAAAAACTCCTTTTGAAGAAATAAAAAACCAAGTTTGATTTTATCAAAAGTAAAAGGAAACTGAAGCATGAAAAAGTTAAATAACCCTATCAAGTAGTACTATTAGAAATAAACAGTAGGTTTCCTAATTTCTAGCCCAAGATCCTGTACGCTGAATTATAATATCAGCAATTATTTTTAAAGAAAACTCAATTAAGTAACTAGCAGTAGCCCCTAGCCCTAATGCTATGGTCGTCATTGCCTTAACTGCAAAATGAGTGCAATCACATGAAAAACCCTTGAGGCCCCTTTAATCTCCAGTGAAATTTGATTCTACGTCTGAAGCCTTTCTCACTGACCCCCGGACCCACAGTCATCTTTTCCTCATGGGAACTCCTGCCTGTATCCCACTATTTATCTTTCCAAACTGGTCATGATCATGTTGCCACATTGTACTGTTACTTATCTTTTCATGAATATATCCTCTGTCTCCAATTAGATTGCATTTTCATGGGGATGCGGATCTTTTCGTATGTGCTTTTGTATTTGTAAGTTTTTGAGTGCAAAAAAAAACATTTTAAATATCGTTTTCTGTCCCTATTAGCACCTGAAATAGTGCTTTGCACAGAGTAGGCACAAAATAAATGTGTAAGGATGGCGACTGGTAGATTGCGGTTTTAAAAAATAGGAGTAGCCATCATAGCTAGGGTAACATGGGCATAGGATTTGTGGATTCTGCCTCAAAAGCAAAAATGTTTTTCCTCTGTTCCAGAGAGATGCTGTTAAGCGAATATTCTCTGGCATTCAGCCTACAGGGATCCCCCACCTCGGCAATTACCTGGGAGCCATTGAGAGCTGGGTGAAATTACAGGATGAGCATGGCTCCGTGCTGTACAGCATCGTTGACCTACACTCGGTCACTGTCCCTCAAGACCCAGCCGTCCTTCGGCAGAGCATCTTGGACATGACTGCTGCTCTTCTTGCTTGCGGCATAAACCCAGAGAAGAGCATCCTTTTCCAACAATCTCAGGTCAGCTTCTCAGATTAGAACCGAGAAAACTTTTATTGTCAGATTATTTGACGAAAAGCTTGGATAGTGTATATAGCTCCCGTTTGTGGTTTTTAAAAAATTGTTCAAAAGTGACTTTATCAAATGTGATTGTTTCATGTTAATGTTTTCTGTGTATTCATATCATTATCATTATAGTGTAATAGAATTTTTCAACTTTTCCTCCACTATACTTGGTAAATTTATAGTGCTTCATATACCGAAAAGTTGTATCTCATTGGTACTTCTAATCCTGGAATTGTTTTTCTATACTGAGTTGCATTCAAACTGATAAATTCATGCTGTTGACTAATCTGCTGGTGATCAGAGATAGAATTTAGTGACCAGTGGTTTTACATAACCCCAATGTTGCTTTATTGGGTATTGCATTTGGAAGGCCTATTAGGTAATTCCCATTGTTCATTCTTTGCATAGTAGCTTTTGAGAAGATTTGAGAGAACTAGCTGGGAAATTGGAAGACAATGTCCAGTGTCTTGAGTCCAAGCCAAGAAAGGCTTCAGAACAAAGCCAAAATATTTGACTCATATCTTCACTATGGATGAATCAGTTTACTCTTGGACAGGCAGAGAGCCTGGATTAGAGTCAGGGCACTTAAGAGACTCCCTAGCAAAGAAGACGAACATTTTAACTGGATCATGCCCTCATTACATATCTGCTTTAACCTTGTGACAAAGCCCCAGTCAAGGATTGGTATGTTATACATGTTTTGGCACATGATCACATGTGTACATGTGTGATATGCATTATATACATGTATATCTCCTTCCTTGATCATAAACTTCTGCTAATCATTATTTTTATGTATGTTTTATCACCCACAGAACTTAATGTAATGATTCACACAGAGCAACCATTTAAAAAATATGTAATAAATGTAGGGCCGGCCCCATGGCTTAGCAGTTAAGTGCGCGCGCTCCGCTACTGGCAGCCCAGGTTCGGATCCCAGGCGCGTACCAACGCACCGCTTGTCCGGCCATGCTGAGGCCGCGTCCCACATACAGCAACTAGAAGGATGTGCAACTATGACATACAACTATCTACTGGGGCTTTGGGGGAAAAAAAAAAGGAGGAGGATTGGCAATAGATGTTAGAGCCGGTCTTCCTCAGCAAAAAGAGGAGGATTGGCATGGATGTTAGCTCAGGGCTGATCTTCCTCACAAAAAAAAATATATATATGTAATAAATGAAAGGAGTATCTTCAAAAAATAAATACAGTTAGCAAGTTAAACTTGTTGCCAGCTTGGAGATAATTTGATAAAATAATAGAATCTAATCATTAAAATGAACATAAAGGCAATTTACCTCAATTTCCTTCCTTACAGTTGGTCAGGAAGCATTTACTTATACATGACTTTTCAAATTCAGTCTTGGACAGATCTAATTGTTATAAAGTACTTGCTTATATTGAGCAAACACCTGTCTCCCTATAATTTCCACCCATTCATTTAACTTCTGGTCTCTAAAAATACAGAATAAATCGACTCTGTCTTCCACATGACTGCTCTTCAAATACTTAGAGACTTTTATTATGCACCATCCTTAACCTACAGGCCCTTACTGCATAGGTCTTACCTTCTTCAAACTCATTGTCCCCAGATTTCTCACCCTCTTGGTTGTCCTACCTCAGAAGCACTCTTACATTCTCTCTGAGAGGAACGTGCCTCTCATCTTTCAGGAAACAATGTTTATTCAAACTCTTCACATCCATCTCTGACATTATAATGCTGGTCATTATTAGAGCCACTTTTTGAGTCACCTAATGCATTTTCCCAAAGCATATCATCTTCACTCCATCTAAGCTGTTTTTGATACAAGCTCTCTTTTGATCCTTATGTGATAGTTTCTAAAAATTGTATTCCCAGTACCTATTTCCATACTTCTTGTAGGTGAAAATGTCTAATCTCCACAAAGTAACCACTTGCCAGATTGCTTTTCTAAGTGATCTTTAAATTTAAGGGCTTATTTAGAACCACATTCAGTGCCTGCACTTTGAGCTTGTGCCCCTAGGAACGATTACCATATTATAAATTTTTTCTCCTTTATAAAGGGTTTTTGGCAGTGACCTCCATAAGCATCTAAAAGTTGCAATAATTGAGGTATCTTCTTCCACATGGTACTTTATTGTTCAAAATAACAATTGAAGGAGTAACCCACAATATGGGAGACTTTGTAAGAACTCCCTCATAAATGAGGGATAATAAAATTCACCTTCCCTTTCATTTTTTTATGGTACATAACAAGCTCATTGGTTCCCACAGTGGTTGTGGGTCTAGTCGGAGAGTAGAGGTAACTGATGTTTCCTCAGTGACCTTAGTGCAACTCTAAGCTGTCTTATAATTCCCTTCCTGTTGTCCCTGACTTCAGCTCCCTTGGGGGAATTTTGATAGTTTGCCAGTAAAATTTGAGGGAAGTACTCTTCAGCCGACATTCCACAACTTGTCCCACAAAGACAATATGAAGATTTCCTCAGGTGTCTGTCTGACCCCAAGACGTGCTTGGTCTGGGCTATTTCCTTCTTCTTCTTCTTCTTCTTTTTTTTTTTTTTTTTTTTTTTTTTTTGCTGAGGAAGATTCGCCCTGAGCTAACATCTGTGCCAGTCTTCCTCTATTTTGTATGTGGGTCACCTCCACAGCATGGCCACTGACAAGTGGTATAGGTCTGCACCCAGGAACTGAACCCAGGCCACCAAAGCAGAAGGTACTGAACTTAACCATTAGACCACAGGGCTGGCCCCTGTTTCCTTCTTTGACTCAGGCAACCAACCTTTTTACACCTCCACGGATGGACTAGATATTTATCAGGTTTTCTTTCCTCTTTTAAATATTTAATAAAGAAAAATTTAAATATACATAGAAGAGTGGGGAGAATAGTATACTGTACTCCTATCACTTACTAACATTTTGTGATTTGTCTCACCGATGATTTCTTTGTTGAAGTATTTTAAAGCAGATACCACACATCATGGCGTTTCACTCCCTAAATATTTCAGTGTGCTTCTCTATAAACAAAGAAAATTTCCTTACATAATGGCAATACTGTCATCACACCTACCAAGTTAATGATAATTCCATATTATCACCTAATACTCAGTCCATATTCAAATTACACTGATGCTCCCAAAAATGTCTTTTATACTTGGCTTGTTTAAATGAAGATCCAACCAAGGTCCACACATTACACTGATTATGGATCTGAAGTCTCTTTTTTTCCGTGCCTTTTGATTTGCCGAAAAGTTGTATTTTATTTCCTGTAAAGTTAGTCCTTCTGTACTTAAAACAATTTTTTAGTTTTGATGTTTATGTTCCCACTTTTTTTCATGCCTTTGGTATATTGATCACTTGTCTTTTATTTGCTATAAAATTAGGTCTTTTGAACATAAAAATAAACCTTAATTTTTTGTTGCTTTCTCTTTGCACTAATCTGTGTTAGTCGATGTTTAGCGACTATAAACTACCATCCCACATATTTGCTCATCACCATTTTTTGAATAGAAATAGTTTTAATAGAAACCATGCTTGCCTGGTGCCCACAGAGTGCCTAGAAGGGAACATTAGACATCAGTTCCCTTAGAATGGCCATAAAGCTTCAAGTTGTTCATGGAGGATGATGGGAAGTTCTTCCTCATGTCTTATCCTGTAACTATGAAGGCACGTATTGGCTTTTTCCTCTTAGAACCGTTCTTAAATGGAAGTACAATCAAATAAGCTAGTCTCCCTGAAACAGTTAATATTTTAAGCACCTGGCCTCATATTTGCAGTGTTCTAGTATGGCATTTTTATTTTATGTTTTGTGACACAAAAATCAATAATTAACAACTGTCTTTATCAACCTGCAGAGCCTCCAATAGGTGGGAATTGAAAATAAAATAATCATAGCGTTTTTAGATGTAGAAAAAAAGTTGGAAGTTATGTTTAAGAAAACTGATATTTTTAAATATATAAGATTTGCCAAGCCTTTTCATGTATATGCTCTCTCCTTTAATCCTCAAAACAGTGCGTGAGTTAGGCATTATTGTTCTTTCACAGATGAATGAATTAAGGTATGAAGAGATTAAATAAATTAGGAAATGTACTTAAAACCATCTCTGAGAGGTGCCTAATACTTAGTAAATGCTTAACAAATATACCTTCTTAACTAGCTACCTGAGGTCACACAGCTTGTAGGCTACAAATCCAGGACTTTTTTTTTCTTCCTAAGGCACCAATTTGGAAGATATACTCATGGGGAGAGAACCTTATTCTGCCCTCCACCGTGCCTCTGCCTCAGGAGCTGATGGCAAAGGACCGATGGAGTGCCAGAGCTGGCTTCAAGACCCTCATTATTTCTTTCATGGACCATTAAATGAGCCCTTTACTCCTACTTCAGTCCACAGATTGACAGTCCATTCCCACATTGTAGCCATGGTCATCTTTCTACTTAAAATACATTAGCACCTCTCTCCTACCGTCGGGGTAAAAATCTAAACTCAGTTTCTAGAAAGCTCTTCAAGAATGAGGCCCCTGAGAACATCAAGACAGTGTTTCTTCCATTTTTTATCATCAGGTTAGTTTGTGTTCAGAGGATCTGATTAACTTTTACCAATAATCTTTAAAGCAGAAGTTGGAGTAATTTTTTCTGGTTTTATTTTCAGAAAATTTGATAAATCGATTCTTACTTATAAAACAGATAACTTAGAGATCAGTTGTCTACATTTTAAAAAGATTTTTTGTTAGTTCCTTTACAGTGGGAGTTTTGTAGTGCATTTAAGCATTTACTTGATCATTAAATATGTAACTGAGAGGATAAGAATTTAGAAAACAGTTATACTTCAAGTGTTGGGAGCCAATGCCAGTTAAAATTAGTTATACCTGCATCCCCCCCCACCACCACTATTACTTACAGGTAAAATCAAGAATTTTTAAAATTGTAAGTTAGAGAAAAATATTTTTTTGTATTTTATAATGTACTCTTTTCGCGTATAT